ATAGCAGAAATGTATGATAAATTTCACCCTCTGTCGGCTCTACTTTATTCCTCTTGCTAGAGGAGAACGAGTGACAAAGACCAGAGGAAAAGGTAGAGACCAGGAGCCGGAAAAGGGGCATATCTTAGACTATAATTAAACGTGATGATAAGATGAAGCGGCTGTTAAATTACACTGAACCTGTTGTTCAGCTCCTCACTTAGCTTATCAGGCAGACTCGATATAAGACTCTTCATAAAGACCCGGCTGTTTCTGATGTTCCTGTAGATTATCACCCAGAATCAGGTCCCCAGAAAATCGGATATATTTTCATGCAGCGGCTTTTGCAGATTCCTTGAAAATGTTTTAACTGTAATATTCTAAAGAATAATAACAACTTGGAAGATTTGAATTTTATCCGCTTGACATCAAGCCAAGTAGAGTTGGAGCAGTAAGAAGGTCACCCGCTGTACGAGGTGACAATAATTATTCATCTAACCCTCACTTTCATCACGAGTTTCAGTCTACTTTAATCATCTCGCCCGATTTTCCCATGCGAATAAAGAGATCGAGATAGCGTCTAGCGTTAATAATAGAACCATGATTGAAGTGGCCTCCTGAATTAGAATAGTAGATAATATAGCTGCAGTCTTGCACCTTGACAGTTCATTTCTCTAATGATCACTGATAGCAGCTGCAGGGCCGCTCATCATCATCATATTCGACCAAAATATAATAACTTAACACGATCATGCCCTAGCGAGACAGTAGATGGTTTAATCAGAGCTAGTGAACCATGGTCCCAGATCTGCGGGGAGCTTCACAGCAACTTCCCACCCTACATAACCAATCTTGTTAAACATAGCTGACAGAGCACAATGGGATTATATCAGTGTCAGAGAGGTTGATTAATCTCACGAGTTGACAGCAGGTCCGTGCGTAGTCTCGTGATGTGGCTAGTTTTATTATTCACGGAGCTAGAGACAGGGGCAGGTTAAATAAATAGTGTCATGAAATTAATTTCCAGACCTACGTTATTATTATAAGTTTTTGAATTATATTAAATTAAGACAAATACAGAGAAGAATAAATATTATTGCGCAAAAATGAGGATGTAATATTGTTACATCTAGGTAGTAAAAATTGTTTCAACATGAACACGATCAGTATTTCTTCGTAGCTGCTTAACACAAACAGATGTATCTCGTATAACTGGAATGTTCTGCCCTGACCCCTCTTCTGAATCTGATATTAAGTGTAATTGTTGTAGCTCCACTGCTGGAGTAGAAGGATCCTCCACTCTAAGTGGATGATCCTTCGCTCGAACTAGTGGGCTCTTTGGAAGGAGTGGTTGTCTTAGTTCAGATTTGTACGATCCTAACAGAGACAGAAGTTGTGACGTCTTCAACTTTAAGAACTCTCTAAAACTCTGGACAGTAACGGAGTACACAAAGAAGTTAGCCATAATGTTGATGTACTGAACTAGCGCTACAGCTCTCCACACTCTGCTGCTGTACTTCACTCCCAATAGAAACGTTACAAATATCACTGTCATTGGTAGATACGACAATAAGAATATACCCACAGTTAGCAACACTGTTATCAGTCCCTCCCACTTCAGTTTCTTTCCGTGTTGAGCTGCAGCTCTTTTAGCGACCAACAAGAGAAGGACAGATGTTACAGTAAGTGTTGTGTACGAGACAAGGTTTATAACACCTACATTTGCAAGGAAATACCACAAATACCATGCAGGTACACTTGGTGAAGAATAACCATAGCTACATTCGTAGTCATTGTAGCTGAAGTAGACAGACGCCCTGATGTAGAATATCTTCACTAGAAGCACTGGGGTATACAAGCCTAGTATCAGAAGCCAAATTACACAGCAGATTTGGTGTCCTGACCGTGAGGACCAGGCCACTGTCCTTAAGGGATGTTTTACTATGACCAGCTTCAGGGTGGTCAATGCACATGTTAGTAACATCGTCACCACGGAGCATATCCAACCCATGTTATCCTGAACATGACAAAGTATTTCTCCTACCACCCAGCGGTCTGTGATGAATGCCAAAGTGATAGGGAATACTCTGAAGGTATTTTGCAGGAGGTCGCAGACTGCCATGTGCTGCATCACTGCTATTATAACTTTGTGCCGTTTTATAGCAGTGTATTTGAGGGTTGCAATGAGAATTATACTGTCCCCTATCAGAGAAGTTAAAAGAACAGTTATACTCCAGAAAATCAGTGCTGTACGCTCAGTGTCTTCCTTGATTCCATACAGGGTTCTGTTGTCTGTTTGCATGTTTTACACAATATACCTGGGTATAAGAGGAAGGTGACGGATTCTCATCAGTATTTTATATACTGATTATGTAAAAAAGCTATTGTAACGTTTCAAGTAAACCCTTACAAGGTTATGAAATCTTGTCCACGACCCTACAGATTTAATATGTACAGGAAAACAAATGAGCTGTACCGAACTGAATCTCAATGTTAGCAAAAACAAAGGTTTTCATCAATAATCATGCACAGGTGCTTACTGCGACCCCAATTAATCAAAGATGTTCGTGAAAACTTTCAAATCAGAGAATTAAAACTAGTGCTTAATACCGGCTAGCTAAAAATACTACAAAACATACGCGAAGGGAAACAATATAATACATCAATGTGAGACTATATGTTAAATGTAAAATTGTCAACAATTTTATCACCTGACGCTTCTGTTTCACAGAATGTACTATTACATTTTTTACTTACGGATTCGTCAAAGAGGTCCTGAAATATGCTATTTGTTACCCAGAGGACGATGAAAATGAACACTGCTGTTGGTACAGCAATTAGTGCAGAGTTAACACTTCAGCATATTTATTAATTCTATACTTAATCGTACCCAACACGATCAAAAAAGCTAAAATCTTTTGGAATGCATGCACTTCAAGAATCTTAAGCTCTGCAGAAGACAGAAATGTTATATAAAGCGAGCTGTAACATTACATTAGATAGTTCGATACAATCAAACTTATAAGTTATATTACCGTGCGACTGCACGACCGCTATTTACTATTTCCAATTAAACTTTTCCAAGTGTTTTTTTTTGTTGTCTTCTTGCTTTCGAAAAGAGCTTCAATCAATTATTCGTCCAAAACAATTCTATCGATAATTGAAACAAAAGAAGGTGAACATTGGGAAATGAATAGCTCGTCAAGCTGGATCGTAATCCCTCAACGAAATTGAGTCGGACATATTGTTATTATACAGTTGTATTATACAGATATACTTATAGTCAAAGTATTAGTTAGACAATGTTGTAACAGTAAAGTTACAATCTTGAACACTCTGCCTCAGTTATGCTCATCAACAGGAACTAGTTCCAGTCATCCTGTCCATCTAATTGTAGAAACTTCTATAGGGTAATTCTAGAATTATACATCTTGTATTGTCAGGAAACTCGGTATAAGATATTAACCTTGCGAGTTATTTGTTGTGTTAAAGAACTTCATCGGTATCGTTCTGATATGAAGTAGATAATCTTTTATAAAGTATGTCATTTGTGAGCATTTCGAAAAAACAAAGTATAGGATGCCACCCCATTCCCCAATGACGTATCATGTTGTATTATGTATACCTTTGTAGTTTTTAGTTGTAGATCTGCTGGTCCACTATAAGAAGGGCGCAGTGAGAATAAACTGTGAAATATGTGTCATAACGTGACGAAATGTCTTTATTCGATCTCTGTCAATTTCATAGATTTTAGAGAATTGTGTGGTCGATATTTCATTGGTCCTTAATTTGTAAAGAGCAGTAGAGACTAGAGTACAGACGTTTACTGTACAAACCTAATAGCTGTACAAACTTAACTTTAATTGCATCACGTACTGACATTGGTTCCTTTGTGATACAGCTGTCTAAATAACATTATGTGAACGAGATCTCATTAGCGCAGCTCCACCTTACCGCCACTAGATCCTAACTCTCTTTGTGGAGAGAATGTTCAAGGTGCAAGTTAATACAATTGTTCAATAAAATTTAGGATATTGTCTGGTTTTGTAGAATTTATGATTGGATCAGATATCCTCATATTATTTATATTCAGACTGAGTCATTACATCATGATGGTGATGAGTCTAACTGTGGAAAATTCATACTCAATATTGTCATGTCACTTAAAAGCTTAAAAGGTGGAAATTATTCGAATATTTACATTTAACATATTCAATTATTTTATTTCTCAATGAAAGCCCCTAAAAGCAACATTTTGTTTTCTCAACCATCATCATGTATCACGTCATGATATAAACTATTTAGCAAGTTTCTGAGTAAATGGTGACCATTTAAAAGGTCATCATTAGAGTCACACCCTTGGCAGAGCACCAGAGAACGGACGCAACAGAGTTTTAAACCACTTTCGGTTCCTGTACTGTCTCTCAGAGTATATTAAAGTCATTATTGTAACGGTATATTAGAGTATTAGAACCAGACAGAAACAAAGTGTGAAGGGCCTGAACGGAACCAATAACATTTTGAACCACTGAAGAAATAGCTTGTGATCCTGGAAATAAGTTTTATGTTTTATCAGTTGTAGCTGGTAAATTTGATTATGTTAACTAATTTCTGCTAGATCAGTCGGTGTCCGAAAAAGCTTAGATTAGCACATAATAGCATTAGCCGTTTAAAAAAATGTTATAGGAGACTCCTCGAGTTCCAGAATAACAAATCTGTGAATTGATTTTGATTGTTCGTAACCTAAAATTTAGAGGGTACTAATGGCCAGTTTTTATCTTATAAATATTTAAAAGTAACACAGTGATCCAAACGATTATGATAAATTAGGATTACTTTTAAATTAAATCTCACCCAATCCATGCACCAGATAATCACCACAATTCCATGAATTTGAGTAATAAATCTGAGGAATAATGATATTTTGGATTTAACACAAATTATACCCTGGATTTCTTGATTTTCTGTTGAATATCACATATTTAGAATATCACAAGTATCTTTATTATATTCTACCTCAGGCAGTGATGCTCTCCCAGCTGAAGCACATCAACATAGTGTCCTACAAGCAAAGCTTCCAACTGAACAGCACACTGTACATCGTAATGCAATACTGTGAGGGGGGCGATCTTCACACTTGGCTAGCTTCCAGGTAAATTGGTGTGTGATTAGTGTGTGATGAGTGTTGCGTCTAAGTGTGATTAGTATGAGATAGAAGTTAGATGTTTATGATTGATTTTGTGTTTGCTTGTTGTAAGTGATAATTTGAAAAATTGTGGTACTTAGGAATTTGTAAATTGTTTAAAATGTGGTTGTGTTTTTAACATTTTCAAGCACCTGTTCAGTGAATATGTTATGTAGATTGTAGATGAATATTCCTGATAAAAAAGGTATTTCTTATCTTAATGGAAATGAACCAGCGGCTACTGGAACCCTAGTAATTGATTGAACTAACAGCTGGTCTGGGCACCCAATCAGTACCCGAAATAACTAATCAGACCTCTAAGCCTACTAATCAAGCCTACTAATCAAGCCTAGTAATTGTTTTAACAATGCCTATCTCTTCCCAGAAAAGGACGGTTGATGGACGAGCTGGAGATAATCTTATGGTTCGTTCAGATAGCACTCGCTCTCCAGGTACATACTACAGACCACACATTATAACTGGCTCTCTTCTTTTGAGAAATGTTACTTCAACTTAAGTTCCGATTAGAGTTGAGATTAGGTTTATATAACCAGAGTCCGCTCTCATTGGATTACTCTTAATTTTCTCTCCCTCACCAATCGGCTTTCTTTATATTAAATTGGAAGTAACCTTTATTAGCTTCATCCCTAAATTTCATTAATATATTCTGGCGTTCCTTCAATGATACTGCCCTGGCAGAATTTCGAATCATAACTGATCGTTGAGTATATAATGCGAATGGTCGTGTGTCGGTACTTGAAAGTAGTATCGATCATGTAATTAAGAACCAGTCCCTGAAATATGAACTGATTATGTTGATTGATAAGACTGATTAGTGCCTACTGTTTGTTCATGAGAGATTTTTCTTTCAGTATCTACACGCAAAAAACATCCTACATAGAGATCTCAAGGTAAGTTAATTAAACTGAGTTTCTCTTATCTTTTGATTTTAAAGTGATTATGTTTATTTGTGGAAATATAAAAGCTAGGACTGGTTGGAAATTTGTCCTGTTTGTGATAAGTAACAAATTTGTTATCCTTACTTACAACAATATATTCTTCACTGATCAAATTGGTATTTTTACTTTCGTCAATGTTCTGGCCGCCCAATACCGTACGTGAGGATTCAAATAAAATATAATATATAAATTATATAAATTTCCGGGTCAGTATTCTCGGGACTGTATTTTGGGGAGCCTGCCATGTGAGGGGTAGGTAAGTTGATATCGTCCATTTCGCGGACCTTATCATTGATCGTATGCCTAGTACGTGATTTGTAAAATTATAAAGTTCTAAATTTCCGTTTTTTATTATATTAAATCCGTACGAGATTTTATGAGGCATAATATCATTTGGCAATAGAGCAATAGTAGAGCCGGTATGCTCTGAAGAAAGTGAGCAACAAACTGAAGAATCACCAGACCATGTCAAATTAAGTCTTCTGCGATTACTTTTCGAGTTACAGGGTGGCATAAAGGCTCTACTGCCAGTGTCACAAATGTTATTGCGATAGAGAGTCGCCATGTAGATTTAGGAATTAGAATTTGTCTAGTTCATATTTAGATAAGAGATTCAGATGAACAACTTATAACGACAAAAGTGATATTTCGCCATACTCTTCTATAATATCAGTGCACCAATACTGCAGTTTGATAACTCAAAATTCCTTGAATTCCAAAAACTTGTCTCCCTGATAATTAAATTTGCGTAAACGTCTGGTAGGGTTTGTATTAAAAACCCCCAAAATCTGCAAAAATGCTGCACATAACTTTTACTATAACGTTGTATCGGCCTAACTTAGTACTGATTGATATTATTTTCATGTGATGCATTTTGTGCAGAATCTGAGTAGCCCGACACAGCTCGGTCCTGAAATTTTGCGACTATTACAGACTCAGTAAATAATATGTTCATAATCGTTCGACAATTTGTCTTTAGAACGCAAGTAGACAATATGGGGCTGTTGGCGTATGTGTTCTTTACAACGCCGCCCCAATATGGTACAATAATTTGGGCGATAAGAACCTTTTGTTTTGAAAGTCTAACTTCTAAGAACCAAATTCATTAGCATGTTCACAGTATAAAAACAAAAGATATGTATCTATACCATTATACTTACTACTTCATCAATTGTCTGATAAAGGGGCCTGTTGTGCCTGACACAGTTACATGGCAAATTGTCAAATGACGTGGTTCTGCCATGTTTCTGTAAGGTTGCATTTTTAACAGTTTAAAAAAAATCGTATTTACAAATGATGCAAATTTTTCGCTCGTGTCAGACATAAAGAATATCCCGAAATGCTGTACACATATTCCGGCTTTGTTGTGGCCGGTTTTTCAGTTACAGATTTAAATCTAAAGCCAGTAATTAACTGAAAAGGTGCTAAAATAACTCACTAATCCTTTATTTCTTCACCAACTAGACACAGAACATTTTCCTGACCCACAAGAATGAGATAATAAAACTGGGAGATCTGGGGATAGCACGACAGTTGTCTGGAGAAAAGGATATGGCGCGCACCATTATTGGGACACCTTACTATATGTCACCTGAACTGTTCAGCAACCGCCCTTACAACTTCAAGGTACGATTTAACACAGTTTTAACACACTTTTAACGCATTTGTAACATTTTAAACACAGATTTGGTAACATTAGAACCTTTCTAAGATCACTTCTGATTATGTTAACAACTGGCAATGATCCAAATGTTCTGTCTCATAAGATTGAAGTCGAAATTTAGTGCATTTATAGGTCGAGTCTTGTAAATCTATAATTATACTCGACTACGCTATTGTGATATCGATACCCGAGTTTGCCAATACATCAATATTCTCAGACCTCGATTTATTGAGGGATTTGTAAAGGCTTGATTTGAAATATCCTGTTTTAAACAATATCCAGTATAAGCTGGCAGATATTTCATAAGTTTGGAGCAAAGTTTGGGATGTTTTAAAGACAGGTATGTCAGGTTTAAATGGACTAATATTGCGTAATTTCAGAGTGATGTTTGGAGTTTGGGCTGTGTTGTGTATGAGATGTGCACGATGAAACACGCATTTAGAGCAAGGGACTTTTCTGGTCTTGCTTATAAAATATGCACTGGAAAGGTGAGTTAATTAGTTTTCCGCTGTTGATTATATTTAGGACTCAGGGGCAAGGGTCAAAACAGTACACTAAATATTTGCCCTGTTGGTTGGTTTCAATGGTTTTCAGTCACCTGTGAACGATTATAGATTTTTTTTTTCGGTTCGCGTTAGATTCGATTATTTCCAAACTGTTACTTTAGCTCTGTTATAATGTTATCGGAGAGACCTTAATATGTACTGTACTAACTTGGCCAAAGACATGAATAAGTTGGTTATTTTTAATTTCACGGGATCCGGAAAAAAAATATTACGGCATAAAGTAAATGATATCAGTACCGAATTAATGTCTAGAAATTTCTTGGAATGACTTAATCTTTGTCCTCCGGACCTGGTAAATTGGTCGTCTCAAACTCACGTTGATTGAATTTGACTTCTTGTAACGCGCGGATGACATCATTTCAAGAACTGTGCGCACACGCATTGATTTTCGGACGAAAATAAACATTCAATTCGATTCAAATTTAAACCGTCTTTGTTCGGTGAGATGGGCAAAAAAGTTTAGGAAATCGTTCTAATTTCTTTAAATCGTAGGTCCCCCCACTACCGGGCAAATTCTCGACGGAGTTAAGTTGTTTGGTGTCGTCAATGTTAGAGCAGGAGGCCGAAGATCGACCAAATGTTACAGAGATTCTTCATCTCAAGTTCATTCGAACATACATTCAGATGTTTATCAAACGAAATCGGTGAGTTGATTTGATTTATCATTTATGTCACCTGAATTTTTTCTTTCCGGAATAAAATATTTATCTTATTAACTTTTCGATGAGTTGCTATGGGTCACTAATCGGGTTTTTTTCAGAGGTAGCAATTCTGGTAAGCCAAAGATAGCACCGAAAACTGGCTGTGATAGATCCAACTCCGCAGAAAAATTGGAAACTTCGCAAGAACCAAGGATCCCTCGACCTCAGCGGGCAAACTCAGTAGAAACTGCGACACCAAATAATGAGGAAAAAGTTGGTTTAAAATCAGGACATTGTCCTCATATCAGACAACAGTCTAATCGACATAACGCTGAGAAAAATAACAAAGTTAATAAAAGAAGTGACGATACGGAAACTTCGAACCGACCCTCTGCTTCGAGTAAACGTTTATCAAACTCAAATCATCTTGCATTGATACCCTCTGTTAAGGATTTGCTCAAAAAAGAGGAAAACAAATCGAATGAGACGAAAGATTCTGCGTTCGTGCGAGGAGACTCGAAAAGAAGGAGTTCCAAAGATGGCTTAAAGTACATTGAGCCAGATCAGCCACTGAGATCCCAGTCCGATTATCACGTGATAGAACCACAACCAATCCCAGCTCCGATCAGCTCTGCTAGAAAGCGAAGGATTGAAGATAAGAGAAAACGGAGCAGATCAGCTGACAGAACGAGCCCTGATCTGTTTTCCTCGACGGGATCAGACTCGCCCAGTCCTACTCTAGATAGTAGACCACCTAGTCCAGCTGCTCAGTGCCCCTCCAGACCCCAGAGTCCCATAATACACACCAGAGCACAAAGTCCCGGGGTTCCCACTCGCTCTCAAAGTCCCGTTCTACCGTCAAGTCGACCCCAAAGTCCTGTGTGCCCACCGAGATCCCAGAGTCCTGCTGTTCCTCCCTCAAGTCCAGCAATCAGACCAGCAAGTCCAAGTCTCCCAACCAGTCGTCCTCCGAGCCCCTGCCAGTCAAGCAGTAGACCAGATAGCCCGTGTAGAACAGAGAATAAACCCACGTCGTGTACCAGAAGCAATAGTCCAGCCCCCAGAGCTCCGAGTCCAGCTGCCAGAGCTCCGAGTCCAGGACTCCCTCGCAGTCCAGTTATCAAGAAAAAGTCTGCTGGTGGCAGAAGCAAATGTCGACCACTCCCTCCGACGCCTCCTAGTGTAAAAGCCAGCAGACGGAAAACGAAGTCGCTGTAAGTGTCTCATAATTTCTTCACACTTGATATTCCTAACATATCTGTTTATATTCTTTACATAATAATTCCTCCTTACAACCCTGTCTGAAATACTTACAGTTACTAACGTCATCTTAATTCGCAATTATTCCCTTATTTTTGAGACAGTTTCTTCTCTCAGAAGTGAAGAAGAAAAGCTGGTAGACCTGATGAACGAGACTTTGCTAAAAGACACACCAGAATTAGACACGGCCCCAGATCGAGACCACCGCCCAGCTCGCCCTCTTCCTTCCTACCGTCCTCTACCTCAGAAAAATGAGGACTCCGAATCTCACCGTCAGAGAAATCAAGACTCCGAGTCTGGCGAACCGCCTCAGTTGTCAAGGCTGCGGAACAGGTTGGAGAGACTCAGAAATCAGGTGCTACCCTGTGTCAGCAGGGATGTGCTGGAGAAAGCATACAGAGTCCTGGATGAGAGTGATCCAGAAAAAGTGCAGGTAATTTCAAACTCAGTTTCTGTCGGAGGCTTCTCAGTATTCATGTCATTTTTAAGGATGTTCTGCATTTGCCGCCCAACTTTTTTTGGTTTCGACGATTATTCGAATAACCTGCGGCTTCAATTGCTTCGTATATTTGTGTTTAATAACTTTGACTGTGGTGTGGTTAAAATGTGATATCCCCAGTTCTATAGAAACCGTAGAAAGTATTTGAGAGTACTTAGAAGGTAGTTGCCAGCTGACCGAAGCCTTTTTATCGCATTGCTAAAACACCAATTTATGCACTGTTTTACTCATAAAACACGTTATCTCACAATGTTACCATGTTTGCACAGAAAGTTTAAAATACACGTTCTGCGAATGTCGCACTTTCTGTCATTCTAATGTCACATTTCTGTTCAGTAAATGTTTCCCTTAAATCAGAGTGGGTTGGTGGGTGGGTGGGCGGGTGGGTGGGTGGGTGGGTGGGTGGGTGGGTGGGTGGGTGGGTGGGTGGGTGGGTGGGTGGGTGGGTGTGTGTGTGTGTGTGTGTGTGTGTGTGTGTGTGTGTGTGTGTGTGTGTGTGTGTGTGTGTGTGTGTGTGTGTGTGTGTGTGTGTGTGTGTGTGTGTGTGTGTGTGTGTGTGTGTGTGTGTGTGTGTGTGTGTGTGTGTGTGTGTGTGTGTGTGTGTGTGTGTGTGTGTGTGTGTGTGTGTGTGTGTGTGATCTGGGCTGTGTTCAGTGCTGATGTAGCCTAACTAACAACCAGAACAGTATTAACGTGAGCCAGTATTAATCATGTGTTGAAGCTACTGATTGCAGCTCACTAATGTGCTCAATGTACGTGACAATTCAAACTCCGATAATAACAAGCCGTACAACAACATCCGTTCCCCATTCTATAATACCTTTACGTCACGTTGTGCTTCCTTTTCTAAGACTTTGCCGCTTCAATCGGAAAATTGTGTACATTCGCTGCGGAATTACCATTTGCCTTATTTGGGTATTAAAGAAGCTTAACCTAATTGCAGTGGGTGTGTCATGAAGTCATGATATGTTAGTAGTCAGTAACTACACTGCGGTTATCGTAAGAAAAGATTTGTACAGCTGCATAATACTGTAGAAAACAATGCCGTGTTATAGATAGCACCATTAAGGTCGTGGTAGTCATCTTAAATTTCATAGTGTAGGGGAAAAAATGCTAAAATTTGCAAGATTTCCGGCTGCCGCAATATATCAAGCCTTTTTCCTGTTTTCATGAAGTTTAATTTCTTAACCTCTTAATGTGTTGAGTGTGCGTATTTTAAAATTATTCAGGATTCAAATATAACATTAAAATCATCCATTATCAGATTATTGTCTACGAAATCGATTTTAAATATGTTTGGATATGTTAATGGGAATAAAAGTGATTTTATGTTTTAAAATTCTTGTTTTTTTAGACATCGAAAAAAATGGAATTTATGTAACTTATTTACATAATATTTTGATATTAAATATTTCAGGGTGAACTCGTGCTACTCGTAGGAAACACACCACCAGGACTGTGTAACAAGGTTATGGAACTGTATATATGCCAACAGAGACTCAAGGAAAAAAACTCACTTTTCCAATCTATTTAGTTTTCCAATATAGTTATAATAGCTTTTTAAAATCGGTTGAACTATGCTATGCATAGAGGAGGAGTACGTATGTTAACTGTTTTGAAAGAGATTTTTGATGTTAATTGGGATGTTTTGCAGTTTTGTTGGTGACAATTTCAAGGGCAGAAATTGCATGTTATTAATTTATGAGGTGGGGTTTTAAGCTCGTTAAGCTGAATATATTCATTTTAATTGACAAGATAACTTATCGTTCGATTAGTCGACGTTTCACTAGAACGTGGTTAATCTCAAATGGAGATAATATAATATAATTATATGATATAATTATGTCTCAAATGGACAATTGTAATATTTCATATTTTAATAAATTACCATCATCTGATTGTATTTCTTATGAAGGAGTTAAATTTCAGTTGTAGTGATTTACATACAGCAGAAATAAATTTATTTCGGAAGGGTCATTATACAGAAGACAATGATACAGCCATTTATTTCCTTGGAAATTATAAGACTTGTAAAGAAATGAAAAAAAAATGTACAAATTTATAATAAATCATCATTGTTCATATTGTAACGAAATCCATACATTTAAACCTCGAAATTTTTCCATCAACTTCCGTCAAAATAAATAAAAATTTTTGGGAGCCTATACATTTTTTGGCAACGTCATAGCAAAAAAATACCACACAAAACCAACACAGTACACAGTCCACCGCATTCACACTCGACACGATCTACCGTGTTCTTATTGTTCACGATCTATCGTGTAAACCTTGTCTCCACCTCACTACAAAGTTAGTTCCTAACAGCACTTTACATGGATGAAGTCCTTCTTGTTGACCACCTTCAGGTCGTCTGTTTCGCACAGGGTCTTGGCGCACCCGGTACATTTCACGCACTGAAATATTACTGTATCAGTTTCCGGTGTTTACCAGTTTCATGTGTCGGCCTGGCTAAGAACAAGAAAAACTAAGTATTGACAGCTCTTAGTGATAATTGGAATCAATAAGTCTCAGACGCAAATTCAATATTAAATATACCTTTTAAACGAACACATACTATGTAACAAAGTATGTGAAAAATTATTATTATTGTGACAAATTGTCCAACTGCTCACCTGGAAATGGAAAGCATCGTCTCCCCAGCAGAGTCGTTGTCCCTTGATGAACTCCTTACACACTTTACACTTGTAGCCGTACAGCAGATAGTGGCAATCTACACACAGTGGCTTTTCGTTCCTGTACGATTTAGTGTTAATAGTTGGTCTGTAGTCTGTAGTCATGTTTGTCACTTGACACGTGCCTGGACACCTCCAGAACTATAGTGCAGCCGCAAGAAGCCTTAAATTGCAAGAGAGTTATTATCATAACTGCACTGAAAGCTCAAGATTAAGAGGCCAGCTTGCTGATGTATGATATTTAGAGGCCTGCTTGCTGATGTATGATGTTTAGATCGTTTAGAAACCGTATTATGTACTCCATCTTCTTATATTTTATAAAAATACCAATATGGATCACATGTGTCCTCTGGCTGTACAATGCAATGATAGGAATGTATGACTTAGCGCTTGTCATAACGGTTAATAAGTAATGACATCCAGCAAATTTAGTGTATGGTCTTATAGAACTAATTGCAAAGGTGTTCTTATAATTGTGCGAGTTAGTGTTAGTTGGTGATTTTGTTTACAAACATCCAGTAATTATATTTACAGACTGTACGCTGTATAATTCTCTAACTTATGGAACTAATTATCAAGATGGTATTTTCATAAAGGTGTTATTGTTGTCGTATAGGTGGGCTTCTTGAAGGTGAATTACACTTACAGGGTCTTAGGGGTGTTGCTCAGATATTATGAAGAATGACGGAGCTGACTGGCGGAGAGTTGACGTTATTTTGTCACAGTAATTTCGACCAGAGTCGTTATATTTTAAAAGAAAAATAAGGTTTTCCTCGCCAGTTGTCCTGGATTACCTCCACAACATTATAAAAAGATGCCGTAATGGCGGTTAGTAACATCATTAGTCCCCAGACGGGCGACCATCCTCTAAATCTTTTAATATTCTCACAAAATATTGACCTGACAGACTGAGAATCTGATGGTTAACATTCTAGCAGCTACAGCTGTTAAGTGGCCGGCACAGGACACGAGGTGCATTACTGGTTATAATATAAGTGATGTGTAGTAAATGATCCTATTACAGATATACTGATTCATGATTGTATGTGTAGAGCATATTTGTATTGCTTTAGATAATCATTAATCATGCCCCGAAAAATACCTAGTATACAAATTTGAGTGTTTTTTCAAAACGGCTTTTCATTCTTTCAAACTCAGTTTAAAATGGTGCAGATGAATAGTGGATTATGTAACTGAAGATTAAAGGAAACCCTAGTCTGTACCTTTCGAAGAAGTCTTGTCCAGGCGCGACCTTGTTCTTGCAGTTGACGCACACGAAGCACTCAGGGTGAAACTTGTTGTCCAAAGCGGTGAGGTACTGGCCGTCAATGATAGCTTCGCACATACCACACATATCGACCTGTGAGGTGGAGGAGTTAGTGAGTGTTTTAGTGACTGGCGCTGCTTTGTAGTGCTGGGATCTCAGCAGTCAGCAGGAGAGAAACTCGTTGAAGTCACGTACTCTTGCTAAAACAACATGATCACATACGCTTGAGAACTTTCTCCAGCTTGAGAACTTTCTCTAAGCCTCTGATACAGCTGGATATGAGTTTGAGGTCGCACAACAGCAGCAGGGGAGTCACAGCCTATTAGGAACTGAGCCGCTGTCATTTAAACTTCGATAATTCTATGGCAAACTGTTGCAAGTTATGTTACACTTTCACACTTTATCGTCGGCGATAGCTTAAAAGAGTTCTTTGATCTGCTAGCCTCTGTTTGAGTACAAATACACAATGTACAACAATGTATTTTGGGCTTGAGTGAAAAACGATGTGCCAAATATAGCTGCACTCCATAATATATATATTAATAACGGAATGAACAATACAGAATACGGAATAACACGAAACAAATCACTTTTTTGATTCCAGATCACCATTTATTAAATACTAACTTTAAATTTTCTAAGATCCATAAAAATCGGGTGTAAAATATTTAAATGCTGCTTTAGTGCTTAAATGGATAGCGGAGCAGCTAAGATCAGCTATTGTCGGGCAACTAATTTGCTACAACAAACAAAGATTCACAAAGTAGCGACATCTTTTTAAATATAAACAACTACAATGTAGCAAAGAATGTACGGACATAGCGGTTATCTCACTGTGAGTAACGTTAGGTTACTATGAGCAAACTGGTACTCCCCCTTCCGGGAAATATTTATAATTGGGTTGAGGAAACCAATATACGTATACTTTTGACAAAATAACAAAATAATGTCACAGTGCTGGCAAGCACGACCGCCGCCATTATACTCACTTACACTATACTATTAACCTCCTATACTATAACTATTATACCCCTTTACTGTTTTTCAGGCATTAAGACTCACCGAAAGTAGTTCAACAGGCATATTTTAAGTTCAAAACATTCTAATTCAATGTCAAAAATGACAGGATTAATAAATAGTTATGTGGTAATGTGGAGGTTTTTAAGAAATTTGCGCAAAATATTTACACGATATTTAGTGATTTGGTATTCTCTGGTGTTGGGCCACCGCTAGGTTGTGGAGCTCAGTTCTGCTTTTTATAGGTCTATATTGTGCAATAGGCTAATTTAAAAGTTGAAAATTGAAAAGTTGCACACGTGGGGACACGCCCAAATTGATTGAAAATTGCTAAAATCACTGAAAATTGTTATTTTCACGATTTTTATCAACTTTGGAGTCCCGCTGTAATGTAAGTTCTCATTGAAATCTTTTGAAACTTTGTATGTCCATCAAACTATATATAAAATACTAATATGCAAAAATTTACGGCCCGATCCAATATTTAATGTGCACGCAACGTCCGCTCAAAGTTTGCACGTGCGAAAGGTGAGAATTTTGCTCATTCGTGATGTCGATTAGATTCTGCTTTCCCACGACAGTTCAATGGCATTATATTTGAATTTAATGCCAATTTAAATGAGTATATAGTGGCATATTCAGTCAGTGATCGACAGATATGCTTATCTAAACACAAGGAAATGTTTTCAAAGGTAAAATTTCGAAATCGTTGAAATTACCTCCTTATTATTTAATGAAGTTATCACTTTATATTTCGACTTTGTAAAGTACCCTGACATTAACGAGGTCTGATCGTCATCTTCATACAGCATTCGATGTCTGTGTGAAGGTAAAATGGTGACATCCTCTGGATCAGGCAGAGGTCGAGTGTTATCGGGATTACTTCTGTAGTAGTTATACAGCAATACTAAGGTATTTCCGCAGTAGTCGGAGTCCCATTACCCTGACATTAATCAAAAAGAGATGATATTTGACCAAAACCCATAATTGGGTAGAGTGGACCGCTGCCAGTGTCTCTCTTTCCCAAACAAAAGTAAATGATATTAATTTGAATTACCGTCTGCAAATGCAAAATGATACCGAGAATGAAATCGGTCGCTCGCTTTTCCCATTCATTTACAATTACAATTGTAATAGATTAAGAGAAACTATCCGAAGGCAGCTGTACTCGGCAATAACGATTCAATAAACATCAGCTAATTGGACACTAACTATACCGCCCTTATATTATCCCGAAATACTAGGTATCGACCCGAAAGCAACCAAAATAGATTTTTACAGCATGTGATTGATGCAATTAATCGAAACTTATTTATACAATTCGTAAGCCGTGAATGAATAGGAAAAGCAAGCGACCGATTTCATTCTCGGTATCATTTTGCATTTGCAGACGGTAATTCAAATTAATATCATTTACTTTTGTTTGGGAAAGAGAGACACTGGCAGCGGTCCACTCTACCCAATTATGGGTTTTGGTCAAATTATGTTCAAACAGAATAAACCATTCCGATACCGAATTGAAAACGAAATCAGGCCACATTTAAAAATGATCACAAATAATAAAATCTTTAAAAATTTGAAATGAAGTGATAAAAAGTAAAACCCGATTAACGGTTAAAAATTATCATTACTACTAAAATATTTCTTACCTCTGATTCGGCTGTTTCTGGCTCGTCATCATCGTGTACCTCACAACTGAAGTCTTCATCGTCCAGATCTATCTCCTCAACCTCTAGTTCTTGTACGTCAGCCATCTTACTTGCTGCACGGGTTACTTTTAAAGATATTTCCTTGTGTTTTTAAGTAACACTAATATTAGGATCTACACAGTACACATACATAACACACATACATTATACATAATATGTACATAATATATGAACATAACATAATCAACATTACATGTTCATTATAACAATTCACTCACCATGCCATTCTTATTCACTATAATCAATTATCATTTGTTCAAAATATGGATACTGGTGGAGAGATGCACCATATTTGTTTTGACATGTGACAATGGAATCAGTCATGTGTCAGAAAAATATGATTCAAATCCCCTCTAGTGATCAGATTTATTAATAAGCAATAATAATATCACAACACTTCAAAGTTCATAAGCACTTCAGTCTTCAATCATTGGTCACTTTATATCATGTCCAGTATTCACAAGCTCACTTTCAATTGACTATTTCGATCGTTTATAATATTAATTCACATTCTTTCTCAATTCAATCCATTATCACACCAGCTTTATTAGCTCATGCATAGATAATAAGACGTTTTGGTCCTCCATCACCATATCCCGTTGTTACTGCTGTATGCTGTATGCTGTGTGCACTGTGCGGGTGAACCAGCAGTTACAGCAGGATAGTGAATGTTACCAAAATGTTACATGCTCTGAGTCTGCGTTACATCGTACGTTATCGTAACTTTATGTTTCCGGCGACTTGGATGTTAGGTATTATCATTCAGCACCACTCGGTTAAGTTTATGTTACGTTTCTCCTCTTTGTCACTGGATCTTAAATGTTCCTTCGACACAAATATTTCATGACATTCCTCTTGGCAAGCATTCTTACACACTTCTAAGCACACCCATCTTAATATCGTGTCTTCATGCTAGACCACAGATTCTTATTTACTACCCCCTCACAATACCTCATACCATGAGCTCATATGTGGTAAACCAACTATCGACCCTGACTTCCCCCTTGTGTCTGTTCTTACTTACTTGCTTACAATTTAGTCATGTCACTCTCATCATTTATTCAATCGTCACAACTCAGAACCAATCCATACTCACATCACATCTTACTCAAGCTCATATTCCAATTAACAATCAATCAATCAATTACTTCTTGGTCAACAAGTTCAAATTGTTATCGGTATTTTATTTGATCGTGCACTCAAAACCATGCTATTATTACTCTAATTTGTTATAAGTACCACATTCTTCATCATCCAGGTCCTCAACCTCCAGCTCTAGTACGTCAGTCATCGATATCTTGCTGCTGGAATAACTTTTAAAGATTTTTCCTTGTGTTTCAAGTAGCACTAATTTCAGGATATTTCTCAAAGTGGTTTAAGTGAGACCAAATTTAATAATTCATCACCCAAATATATTTCATGTAAAGTAATTGTAGAATCTTCAAAACTTCAAAACCTTAAAAAGTATAATCGTAAAAATATTAATTTAAAAAAATGTAACCCTGACAAGCTAAATCAAGTTGGGTTAAACGCTGTGAGAGTATCGTACAGCGTTTCAGTCAACACTAGCACTAAATGTTTTTTAGTTGGTTGTCGACACCATCTGACCTAAATTCAATTCATTTCTGATGGTGTCGACAGTCTACTAAAAACCTAACTCCAACAGCTACAAATTACTATGTACAGAAAAAAAGTATTTCGGGCATTTCTCAGATCCCCTGAAAGTCCTTATTTACTTAATAATTCAGTGTAAATAAACAGTAAAATTTACCGGTTACCATCATGTACCAGGGTTATTATTTCCCCAAAAGGCCCCCTACAAATCAGAGTTTTACAGAACGCTAAAAGTATAAAACAAAATCCGGCCTAACAAAACTCTAAACAACAAAAAAGCACGGTCAAATCAAGCCAGACTCGAAATATCCTCCACCACTGAGAATGTAGTCTACAATAGCTTCCTGAAATGTGTTGATGTTTGGAGATGTGCAGAAACCTCCTACCTGACCCGCATATACCCACTCTACACGCGGAACCTGCTCGTTCTGAGACGGCCAGAGAGCCGGTTCTTTGGTTTCAGCTCCGCAGAATTAAGGAATTATATTTCAATGGGTTTGTTTAATTTGCATGGTGCTAGCTTGTTTAAATATAATACCGAGGAATGCACCAGCTTTAACGGAGATGTTTAAACTTGCTTGATTGAATGATAGATTCAATTAGTCAAGAACCAAAAATTAACAGAATCAGCTTTTCACCTGTGTTAACCATATGAATTTCCCAAATTAAACTCAGTTTTAAAGTCAAAACGTTCAAAAACTAAAAGTGCATACTATTCTGCATGTGTTTGAAAAAGAGAAGGTACTAGCAAGAAGTTACTACCCGCCCAGGGTAGTGAATCAAGCGATGAGTTTTGAAGACCATAACCCGGCTATGTTAGATAAATATAGATTCGCATGACGGAGTTCCTAACATGTAACACCTTTATAATTATCACGCCCAATTTATGAAAACTCAGGGGATCATGTTAACAGCCAAACTCATAGTTTTCTGTCGAAAGCATTGCCTGTAAGTTTAACAAACGAAGCTTTATAAAAAAGAACAAATTAAAATAAAATTAACAGTCTCACATTGTAATCCCCCGACTACTGTTTCTTTTCTGACACAGACAAAGGTTAAACAAACGGGGCACGGCTGCAAAAAAGCAACAAAACTAACCCATACAAATATAATACAGGATATATTTAAACACAAACTAAGTGAAGTATCACTATACTGTTACTGTTTATTATATACGTTATTATATGTGGCAAAATAACAGGTTTGCCGCTAGTAACTGTGTCCAGCTTTATTAACATCTAAACGGAAAGACAGGAATCTTCCCGCCTGTATAACATATTATGCGTATAACACATTACCTTATTTGAGTTGATTTTATTAACTAAACGACTTCGTGACTATCGCACTGCATTATTCACATGGGTGTTTGGTAGCATATTTAATGTTTAAATGTTGACAGGGCACCCTGGCTGAGTCTAAATCAGGATTATGTTATCACGGAGTTCAGCTTAACTGTTAAAGTAATCTGTAGTTGGTATAGTAGTAGTAGTATCTACTAATACTATCTAATTGAGTGCAAACCCATTGACAGTGATAGAACTTGCTACAGCTGGGAACGAATAAAAAGTGCCAATTTGTGAGCTGATGTCTATAAATTAGCACTTCAGAGTTGACCATGACGTTCAGTTCGGGCTCTAAAGTTGGTTGGGAGAGGAAACAGAAAACTGATAAGCAAAATTAACATTATCAGAACGAGTCACCCCATTTCACAATACTGACAATATATTCAGATATTGACCGGCCTGGTACGTGACTTTATCAAAGTGCTAAGTAGAACGAGAAACAGAGGTTATATGAGATGATAGGTAATGGCAGGGAGAGAGAGAGAGAGAGAGAGAGAGAGCAGGATATTTAGGAGATTAGCAACTACAAAAGTGCGCGCACTGAGTTCGCGTAAAGCACATGAGATTCTATCCATCATCACTGTAATGCAATTAAAAGTGACACATTTTGGTCGTTCAGTTGAGTAACTTGCTCATAGTCGGGCGGCAACTCACTGTAGTGTTACTGGAACTTGCATTCCTGCCGGCTGCCACATCGCTATTCGCTACTTAGTGTAGCCAAGATTTTTTAGTAACATGAAAGCTACATGTTGATATAAAGCCTGGCTCTAGGATCATTGCCATTGGCACTTGGCGATTCGGCTTGCTATTTTTATTAGAAGTTCATACTTGTAGCCCAGTTTGCCTGGTCAGTCGGATTGAGGTGGGCAGTAAAGTGCCGCATTTTCATCACGTCCTACATACCTACACAATTAACATATCGAATTTTGACCAACTCAAATATTCGTTAAAGGACCAGTTAACTGAAAAATTTGTAGTCTCCAATTTGGCTAAGATTTAAATCAGCTGTGACAAACTGGTAAAGAATCGTATCGCCGAAAGAACTAACTCTCTAGCGTACGTGTAACGCGTGTTATTGCAATAATAAGCTGTGGCCGCGTGACGTCATAAAGTCCCTCAGTGCGCGCTTGCATAGCGTAATACAATGCACAAATGTTTATCATCGTCAATAAAACACGTGTAACTCACTCAAATTTTAGAGTTATGACTATTTCCCTAGTTCTACAAAATCCTTATAGTTTTGGCTATCACCCTAACTATATGAATAGCTGATTGGATGTACAGTGCTCACGTCAGGATTTTAAACAGTGACATAAGTTCTTGAACAGTGGCGGGTGAATGTACGGTTAGAAAGTTTCTGCTATTACAAGTTATGTCATATGTGATAATTTTGGATTGTTTTCATTGCTTCATTACAAACGAAGGGAGACTGTACCGATTATTTTTCCCCAGTACATGAAACTAATACACAAAATAATGTGCTATATATTAAATATAGCTGATCAGAGTGTAACTCTGTAATATAATATTACAGTTGTTCGGAAGAATGCGAGCAGTCGAATGGTTCGCTGTAAAAGACATAGTTCCGAGAGCAATTATATTTTTAGCATAGCGAAATCTCTTACTTTAATCCACACGTGCCAGACAGTACAGGAGACAAGAAGTCTGGCTATTTTACGGCCGTTCCCATGGGACCATTAGTAGAAGTAGCTCCTATCAGAACGGTGCCGTGGGAACCGAAAAATACCCGGTCTACTAAATACTGATCGGAGTGTACAGTGTGTGGAGTGTTTTGAATTTGACTTACCTAGTTATCGTCCTACTTGTATGATCATAAAATTAAATACCAATTAGTGCAAACGTGTTCAGTCAATCGACCCACTCAACAACTATAGAATTTGCAAGACCCTATTATTCGTTGGCCATATATATTACGGCACGATCGATTCTTAGATGGCTAAACGACAAACGTTAATCTATACAATTCTTAAACTATGAGATAGCACTTTAATCTAAAAATACACTTTTTATATTACTCCTGATTTTTACATTTCAATTTTCACGTAAAACATTGTAGCCATAGGTTGATCATGGACACTGACAGCATAATTTTAGATAATAATGATTTATGAGTTTCTCTAAAGTTAACTCTAAACTTGTGTAGTCCAGTCATTTATGGACATTTATGGAATTGAACCTGCAAATTTTCGTATACTCACGAAATTTTGCAAAGACCTTCCCAAAAGTACGAATAAAGGATTTTCGGTTGGAGACATATTGACCACGCCGATATTGACCCAATAACGTAACCGACCCTTTGCTTCTGAAGGTCGTGGAGACTTCAAAATAGGCTTAAACGAAGCCGCATATGCAAGTTTATATAGGAGTTATTGAGCAACACATGGCCTAAAATCCTTACTTTTCGAGAAATTCGCCAAAAACCATTTTGGGCGTGGTGCTGAGCCCATTTTCGATAGGATCGTGATAGAGTCTTTAGACAGGGTGCAAAAGAACCGCAATTAGCATATTAATATATGACTTACGAAGAAACAGATGCCTTAAAGTGCTTACTTTTTCAGTTATTGGCGAAAAACTGATTTCCGGTTCCAGAAATCATGCAAAAATATGGGTATCTCGTAAATTGGGCTATGAAGGCCCTACAGATTTTTGAATGAGTGCAAATTGTGCAGAATGGCCATGTTTATATACAACTTATGAAGCAACATGTACCCTAAAACACTTACTTTTCGAGTTATTTGGAGGAGAAACATTGTATTATGTCCATTTTTACCTGTAAAATACAGTCTCACGAGCTGCTCTGTGCGCGCAAGGGACTTTATGACGTCATCGCCAAAATAATACAAACGCTAATTACACGCGTTAGAGAGCAGTTAGAGATTTAGGAATTTCGACTCGTTGCTCAGTTTGCTATTTGTCACAATCTGTCAAAATATGAGGATAACTTTTTTTTCAGTTAACTGGTCCTTTAACTGTGTGGATCGTACGGGATGAAACTAATATTAAATATGGGGCTTGATGTTTTACTCTAGGAAGCCTTTTAGTTCTACTAAAATGTCTAAATACAAGATATTTTCAGGCTTCAGAACTATCTACATTCCTAATTGAATTTTATGTACATTCTAAAACTATACAAATACAATACAAACTTATGATCACCCTATACCTTCTAACATTATCACTCTCTAAACTTTACATGAGGTTTGGGACTTGTTATACACGTCATTTCTTAGCTGCTTAGAGTGAGACTCAGATGAAACAGGAGATCAGAAAGGGTGAAATTTCACGATCAGTATTAACAAGTACAGCTGAATATTACCTACTAATAGCGGGATCGGAAATACTAATTAGAAATT